CCATTGTCCCGTGGCGTCGGCGGCGGTGACTGGAGGTGCGCGTGTAAAACCATAGCGGAGTGTATATGCCAACGGAAATTACGACATAAATTCACCTTAAAATGACGTTAATGAAATTTCGGTTTGCCGGCTTTTAATGCAGAGGGGACTCGACAGGGTGAGAAAATAGTGCAAAACCACTACAGCATCAGTAAGAAATAAGTATTGAAACAACGTTTCGAATGTAACTACTATAAACAATTATCCTATTAACCCACACCTGTGGCTATTTGTATATGTATAATATTTACTAAATTATGTATACCATGAATAAATACTGTACTAATAACTTTTTAATATACTCTCGTCTGCCCGATGAAATGTATACTATACAGTCCTGGGTATGTACCTTTTTGTGTTTATGAGTATATAATATGACCGCAATATGGGGTCAGTGGAAAGGAAATCGCGGCTTAGTGAGAAAGCCGGTTTGGAGGGTAAAAAAAATATATCGACAAACTACAAAACAAATGAGCGCATCGATTTCGTTAAACAATTGGTCAGCGAACAATAATAGGCGGCAACTACGACGACAGAACAAATTGAGAGAAAAAAGTATAATATGTATAAAAATAATGGTAATATAAACGTAGGTATGGAGTCGCGCGAACGAGGCCATCTGTGTGATTGTGTGCGCGTATTCGACGACGACAAGACAATGCGCGACACGTATTCGGGTACGTGATCATTTCGCCGGCCATTATAATACATATTATTATTGTCGCGGTGATTTTTTCGTTATTATTATTATTATTATTATTATTATTACTACCTATTAATAAAAATATTCGAAAAAGAACGAATCAAACGGAAGAGGTGATACGAAAATAATAATAATGATAAAAAAAATGACAAAAAAAGACAACGCATATAGCAGAGGTGATAAAGGAGATCGAATCGTTTGTGGGTATACACACACACATACACACGCACAATTGAACCCGATAATGATTGGACCAACGGGAAAATTCGCCGCCGGACAATTTGTTCTCGGCCTGAGTCTATTCAAGCGACGACGGCGACACTATTTATTTTGTATTTTGTATTTTATTTTATTATTATTATTTTTTTTTTTTTTTTTACTCAATGTAATGGATAAAAGAAAAAAAAATGATAAATAAATTCAACAACAACAATAATATATCAAACATGCACCGGGTGACTGCGGGGTGACGACTTAAAGAATAATCGATTATGTATAGGTATTGACCGGTTAAGGTTAAACACAATGGGCCACACCGTGAAATGATGCGATGCCGAAGACGAGACTAAAACGTATATATAATATTATGATATGGCAGAGAGATCGACGACGTGATCTCGTGTGATGTTAATTTTTTCCCCAAACTCGGCGCCCGTTTGTATATTTACAAATTATTATTACGCGCTATTTCGATTAAAAAGAAAAAATGCGTGTACGCAGTGTCACGTGTAACAAAATTACATAGATTTCACGGGATTCGTATGATGATATTATCCTCAAGGTTTTCGTAACATGATTTTGTATCGACCTACAGCTTGAAAATGTCGTATGCTTACATTATAAAATATATTATACGACCTAGTGCACTAGTGTACAGAGTGTACGGAAGCTCTGTTTAATGGATAATAATCATACTACAGCTGCTGTTGCCTGATATAGAACGAGTAGAATATTTAATAAATAAAAAAAAAAATACGGTGAGAAAAAGCGTGTAAATGACGGCGGCAACGACTAATTAAAATCCCAGACAACAAGTAAATGTTAGTCGTACCTATACTATAGAACAACAACTACAACTACTACTACAGCACACAATTAAAACCCTGTCGATAACAATTTCCTCTCAATCGTAATCCGATTCATTATGTGTTATTATATTGAAGGCGGCAGCGACCTACGCCGATCTCGTTCTGTGTCCGGTGTCGATAAGATAATATTATTATAATATGAACAATTTAATAATTCGCCAGGCGTTTAAACTCGCACGTCTGATATACTATTATTTTATAATTATTGTTAACCGATATGCATCGCGGAACTCGGTGAAGGGAGGGCAGGCAAGCGTCTATACGGCGATGGTTCATGGTACTCCACAACAGCTCGGCGGGTCAAAACATGATGGTGGCTACTGGCTATACTCAACATACGATTTCTGGATTATTACCGCGGGTTTCCTAACTCATTTTAAAGTTATTCGTGTTCCATTTTCCGAAAAATGCCTCATCATATAATAAATAGTATAAAAAATCTGCCACTTTATCGTATAAAACTAATGAAATACAATACATTTTCAAAAACAAATACCTATATTATATAGCCAAAATTCAAGATTCTTTAGTAAAAGAAATTCGTTCAAAGGTGTGCCTGTCTACGCAGATATGCATGTATACAACACTACCTTTAATCTATATATTATATACACACTAAATATTTAAAACTAGCCATATATATTATATAGTAATATATACATTACTACTACTATAACATCGTCATTGATCATATCGTAAACACTTTTGAATCCGACACTATAGTAATACTTGTGTTTTTCTTTTCTTTCAAACGGCCGGCGGTATGCGTGTCACATCGAAATCTACACCAATTTGCCAAGCGTGAAAAACGAAAAGAATACCAATACACACACACTCACTCACGTCTAAGGAATTCTCGTGGATATATATTATAATATCAACTCGTCCGTGATGCGTGCGTGTGCAATGTGCATATTGTGCAGTGTATGCACGCACCCGCGGGCCATCTGTCCTTGCGCCCCGAAAACTGGCGCGCTATCATCGAGAGTGTTGTTTTTTCGATCCGTCGCGGCGATATCGTTTTCATCTCGGACCCGGACGAGACGAAGCCCTCCGGAGGATTACGCGCCGTCGTTATACATTCGAGTATGTTTGGCCGAGCGATGACGACGACGACAAACCGCTTTTTTCATCCCGACTGGATTATATAGTAATGAATAATGATAATAATAATAATACATGGGTTACCCCGCACCCCCCATCATCGGCCGTCGGGTGTTCGTGTGTGTACGCACCCATTATGTACCTATTATTATTACCGTCATTATAATATCGTGTCGTTCGCGGATTGTCGAGTACGATTGTCAAGAGTATGGATCTGATCGTTTACAGAAAATACGCGTCCGCTGCCGCCTTGCATTATGCATTTATACTCGAGGAGTAGGGTACACCGACGAAATGGAATAACACTCACACCTATGCCATTAGTGTAGCGTATAGTATAGAGTATTAGGTAGGTAGTAAAAAGTATATGATGGAGAATAGTGCGGTAAATGGTATGTCTGGTGATGTGTGTATGTGTGTGTGCTCAAAAAGGCGTAAGAGGACATATTATTATACATTATTTTCGGTTTACGAGAAGACATCTGGTTTTTCTTTTTTGTCTGCGTGTGTTATATTATAACACGAATTTCATTCCCCGATTTCTAGCTGTGTGCGGGTGTACGAGTGCGTGTTATACACATTCCGAATTTCATGGTGTCCCGAACCCATTGCGACAGCGGTGTTTAAGTGTCGTTCGGGTTCGCCTTTTTTCTCTTTTATTTTTTTTTTACGTTGACACCGATACTGCATACTCACGCGACGGCGACGACGACAACGGCAACGACGGCCGGCTGTGTGCGAGTGTGGGGGATTCGCGCCTAATGTGTGAACACAAAATCGCCGATGGTCTGGGCCATTCGGACCGTGAAACGTAAGAGGATCACACACGCGCGGTGACCAGAACTCGTATTTGTGTCTCGCTGTTGTTGTCGTCGCCGCTGTCATCGTCATCATCGTTCGTCGTTCTCGTTGTCATTACATGTTTTTTCCCCATTATTATTATTGTTATTTTTTTTCGTTTCCAATCGTTTACTGTCTGTTGAACTTTCGACCGGTCCCTTTTTTGCCACAATAACACTCGGATAGCCGCCGCGGGGGTCAGAGTTATAAGGTGCGAAATTATGTGGGGGAAAAAAATTCGCATTTTCCATCTACATGCACGAAACGGCCGATGGTCATTTCGTGCTTTATATATATATATAATCTATACATACCTAGGTATTGGGTACTATTATTATATTATATTTATAGATGATTTTTTTTTTAAACGACGCAAAAACTGCAGTTCCGGTCAAATTGTCACAGTACTATATTTTCGAGAAACGCTTAGATATAAAAATGACCGGCTTTGTCATTTATTCCACATTATTACACTTTATGGATAACGTTGAAAAAACAAACTATATGGAAATTCGACTGCCACATCCGGTATATGTACTCATTGAAATTGCCAAAAGAAAAAAAAGAACGTGGCTTGTCAAAACGTCTTTTCAATGATAAATCCGATTAAGCGTTTTGAATAAATCTTACGAGGAAAAAAAAATCGAAATCGACCTGACAAAAATAAATTACAGATTTGATCCGACAGGCAAAAAAAAATCAAATTCTTCAGATAAAAAAAAAAGTAAATGCCGGAAGAGCGGACGCGTAATTAATTAAACAAGGGAGCGGGAAAAAAAAAGAAGGATATTTTTCTTTGCGTTTATAACCTTATTAAATAATGAAGGGGCTTCATCTGTTAGGGGAATGGAAAGGAGAAGAGTTAATTTAAACCCGACACGAGAAACAAATGCGGACGTTTAATAACGAAAAAATGTGTAAATGTTTCCATCTCTTGTTCGGATTCAGATTTTGCTGCTTTTTCCACCCCCGCGGGATAGAATATATTTTATTTTATTATTTTTCTTTCTTTTTTTTAATTATAAGCCCAATAACGATTTTTCTTCTCCAGACGTGTATCGCCTATAACCGGAAACTTTCTCCACTCCGTCGACGGCGCCTATATATACTTATACTTAATAATATATAACACGTGAAAACTTCTTACCCGACTTGTGTTGTATGTATATAAGTGTGTATGTGCATGCAAATTACATTATAATAATATGATCCAAATCGTTGCCTACCTGTCAGTCGGCTTGTGCGACATCATGCACCTGCAAACAAGAAACCAAACATATAGTTTAACTAAAGTGCATAAATAATTGGTAAAAAAAAAAATAAAAAAATAAAACAAAGTACAGGCAAACCCGAAATTCGATATAGTTTAACAGTGTTGCAGGTTGTTTAAAATATTGTATTGATAAAAAAAATTGTTTCTCTATTTAAGTTCAGTTTTTCTTCCGACACACTTAGTTAAGCTATATTGAATTTCTTGCGTGCACGTGTATTATTATTGTTATTTTACTAGTGGCGATGACGACGATATACCAAGTGTGTATACATGGGGTAAGAGACATAGGATACGAGCGAATTAGGAAGTATCGACGACAATTTCAAATAATACAATATATACACACATATAATAATATTATTATATATCACGCATATTATAACGGTCCCTGCTCGAAGTCACCGCGGGTCGTTAATCAAGTCCCCAAAATGACTAGGCGGATTTAGATCGCGCGACATCGGGACGTCAATAAAATGCAATAAACACCATTATACTGTTAAAAAAAAAAAAATAGGCAGAAAGGAAAGAAAAAAGTAGTATGAACAATAATATCATATATTATTCAATGGTGGGTAAAAATAAAAACGTAAAAAATAAAAAGTCACGGTTTACCGAGTACTGTCAAGGTATATCATTGTGGAGTGGCAAAGGTCATGGGCGTCGAACGCCTATTAAAACTGAATGATATTATGTATAGGGGAGAGCGAATATTGGTATCAAAGGTCAGCGGCAGATGTGTGCGTAAGGCAGTGCCGGCGACAATGAAACAAACGGGTGAAAAAAACCAAAAATAAAAAAGTTTTTTTTCGATGTGTACATAATTTTTTGTATTCTCAGATTTTTTTTGGAAATCGATCGACGCGTGATCGATTGATGACATTTTAGCCTATAACAATAAAATTGTCGTTTTAAACGCAATCTATAACTGTTATAATATATAATGTATATACTTTTTTATTTAGTAACAATATGATCGCCAACAAAACCAATAGTTATGACTTATGAGCATATGTGCAAATAATTATTATTTAACAGCTTTTAGAACCATTTCGAAAAAAAAAACTACGCGAGAAAAACGAAGAAGGCAAAAACTATAAAATTATACACATTTTTATTCTCAATAATTAACCAAGTGTGTATAATACACTGACCAAGGTCAAACCGGTCGGCTCGGCGATGATGATCTCGCAACCCATATTGAAAACTATTATACGAAAAAGGTACATCGTTGCACAACCCGATCAGTCGACGAAACGATGTAATGTCATTTCGTTCTGGCTAAAAAGAGCATTCGAAAAAAATCATACCGTACGCGAATGTATATTATATGTTGCATATTATGTACAACTGCTGACAGCGTTGGATCGACGCAATAAAAACCCATAAATATAACTATACTTCTACGCGTATACTCATCGGTACGTTCGCGACTATAACATTATATGATAATAATATAATATGTTAAACTGTGTATTATTAAAACGTATCGTTACACCTGTCAGACCGAGTTATATATGGCTCGAGTATCTCGTTTACATGCATTACGCGCATAGATATTTAGCCGTGTATACATGGTAACTCGTAAGTATATTATATTATGCGTGTGTACACAATATCGTTTTCGGTGTACACACTACACATGCAAACGAATGGATAGATCTGCGTGTATTTTTTTTCGCGCCCGACCCGACGTCGATTTTCCGGACCGAAACGACGTCGATCCGCGGTAAACGTATATTATATACAAAAAAAAAAATGTTTCTGATTTACCCAAAACCCCCGCCCGCGTCAATAAAAACAGTAATAAAATTTACATGTTTTACATACCCAATATACTTATATATAGTACGGTCCAACCGTACATATACCTACGAATATAATAATATAATATATTCTTACAACCGTTAAGTATAATATCATAATTTCGTATGGATACCGCGACTACTGTGTACACACACACGCGCGCGCGCGCTAGCGCAAGTATAGATACAACGAGAGTGTGTATTGTGTATATCATATTATTTGTATCAGTATACAATAATAATATTATAATGTACATGTTATTATAATGTGTTGGATATGCGCGTCGCACGTATCGCATTTTCCACGGTGAACGTTTTTAATAACGTGATTTTTTTTAAATTTCATTTTTTAATAATCAAACAGCCATTCCGTTTTTCTTTGGGAAAACTAAGTTCATCGTACGTCTCGTGTACATTAAATTCTCACATACGTGAACTGATAACAACCGAACACTACAGGTGGCCGTATAATCACTGCGGATCTCTCTTTCTCTCTTAGTAGTTCGATACTATCCACAAACATTTTTGAAAAATGTTGTCCCGTTTTATACTCCTAAAGACAGATAAAAATGACAGGAGAAACTCAGACATAAATTCTAGGAACACTGCAACTACACTGCGCACAAATCGGAATACTTGTGACTTATATTTTTCTGGATAGAATTCATCTCATGAGATGAGGTCAGTCACAAGTTTTATTTTCAATAACTGGCGCCTACGCACAACACGTGAACAATTTAACACTAACTGCAGACGAGACGACAGATTGTATACTATTATTATGCATATAACATATACGTATTATATTATATATTAGGTAATAATAATTACCGTTGGTACATATATAGACAGAGCTAGTGTGTATACGCGACGGAAATATCCAATCACCGTTTGTCGGTCGGACAATTACCGACGGAAATCGATTATACAGTAATAATAACAATATCGTGCACCTATACACATTTATACATCGTATATAGCGTGTATTATAGGCGGCATACGCGTCTGACAGTGGTGGGCTGTATGGCAACGGGGATACACCCGCGGGACGACACCGCGCGTCCGACTAAAAATCCGATTTTTCTCCTGTCCGACTGTTGTTTTCTTTTCGACTCGTTACAACAGCACTAAGTACACGAGCGAGTGGTTCCCCATTTCGTATACACATATTAATATTATTATGTCCGTGCGTTTGATAATTACAATGTGTCATCGCGGTCGAGTTAATTTCAGCCGAGTGGTTAATGACCGCCGACGCCGCCCCGAAATGGAAAAGTACAATATTTGTTGTTGTTCGCCGCAGTCGCTTCTTCTCGAACCACGCGGCGCCGCAGCAGGTCTTATATACGATCTATCTTTCTGTAATCATTTATCATCACTCGGCCGGGGACGGCCCCTGCAGTGGGTCTCAACCGTGCATCGTCGGCGGTCACACGACTCACACACTGTGTGTGCAACGGCAACAAGTCGTACGCGAAAATAACGAAATTGCCTGTTCTTATAACCATAGTCGGATGACATCAATAATCTTCCGTTCGGCCCCCTTCGCCGGATCGCGAACACAATAAACATCGTTTACCTATATTTCCGTACGGACTACAGTACTTCGTTATAATATTGAAAAAAGGAAACGCCCAGGCCGGCCGGCGGAGTGTGCGCAATATATAACAATAATTGTACAAATATAATATACGAAAGCGTTTTTTCGGTAAACGCACTACACATATAAATATATATAATAATAGGTACGCCCTAAGACACGCGACTCACGAATTTTGTTTCGAAGAGACGGGACGAATCATCTGCTTAAAACATTTTCGAATCGTTCGTATATTATATTGTACCCACGGACAGTGCAATGGATCTTTTATCCAGTCGCGTGTAACACCCGTTTTCCTGCGTTAACATTATGGGAAAACGGGAAAACACTGTGGCCCACCCTGTCACGCCGCATAATACCACAGAAACATATTATTCACCATATAATAGAGGGTATCCAGTACGATAAAACCTATAATGTAAATTCGTACATTCTTACGTGATCGATCTGAGTCGCCCTGGTCGCGGTTAATAATAATAATAACCATTTTAGTTATCTCTGCGATGACGGGAGCACCCGCGCTCAAGATATATCGTCTGCGTGAGTATTTTAAGTAATAGGTATACATACGTATGTTATATTATGTAATGTGTATATAAATAATACACGTATCGTACAAGACTAATATTGTTTTTGTTTAATGATTCAGGTGTCTGGATGAAAAGGACATTTTGAGGCCTCCTGAAGCGAAACAAATCATCGACCTGTGTATAATGTGTCGGTGTGTGTGTGCGTATAATACGTACACACACGCGCAAGCATATACATCGTTAACGTTTAATTATTGCACTGGCGCCTTTATGTTTTCCCAAATTCATCCGTCCCACACAAGGCGGCAGCGGCGTCGGCTCTCGACGTATTTGTTTTGCACCGGTTCATGTATTATATACCTTCGTCGCCTGTGTTATAGGTATGTAATGCGCCAGCGCTGTTTGCCGGGGGATGTCAATCCGCGCCATCGCCGCTGCACCGTGTGCTCCGAAGAGTTCAATATCACAAGTCCATCAATCAAACTTCGAAACAATTATAACGCTCGTAGAACAATTGATTACGTTATGATTTATGATTACTCTTGCGGCTAATGAACATTCCGATTGTGTTTCTATTCTATACCTTATATACACACGACATATTATACAGATATTATATCGCGTATACCTGTGTATATATTTCTGAATAATATTTCCGGAACAGATAAAAAAAACGGTCGATCGTAAATAAATGTTGGGTATTGTTATGCAATTGTTATTATACGTATTATTATTTATCATTAATTATCTAAAATTCGGTAGAGGACATAAAATAACATTTTAGAAAAGGAGACGACGATGTAAATGTCTAATTATTTATTGAGGGGAAAATGTCATTTTTTAACTAGCGAATAAACCAAACATATTAATCGTGTGCATACGACAAATGATTTGGTCGTCAAAGCCGCGAGGCATTCAACCTCAGTGGCCTCCAATCATGACTATAAGATATTTATAATAGTAATATTAATAATAATAATAATAATAATAATAAGAGAGATGGTTAAGAAAAAAAAACTCATATGAACCTATTGTTTGTTTTTCGAACATT